CCCTGCAGCAAACTCTGCCTGGACAACCAGGCCTTTTCATACATCCTCTGAAATCTAGGAATAGGTTACCATCCTGCAATTCTTGATCTCTGTGCACTGGCAGGCTCAACACCATGTGGAAGCTGCCAAGGCTTGAGGCTTGCACCCTCTGAAGCCACAACCCAAGTTTTATGTTGGACTCTTTCAGCAACAGCGAGAGCAGCAGGGACACAAGGCACCAAATCCCTAGGCTGCACACAGCACGCAGGCGTTGGGCCCAGCCCACAAAACCACTTTTTTCTCCTCAACCTTCAGGCCTGTGATGGGAGGGGCTACTGCAAAGGTCTCTGACATGCCCTGGAGACATTTTCACCATTGTCTTCATGATTAACATTTGGCTCCTCATTACTTTTGCAAATTTCTGCAGCCAGCTTGAGTTTCTTCTCAGATATTGGGATTTTCTTTTCTATCACGTTGTCATGCTACAATTTTCTAAACTTTTATGGTGTTCCCTTTTAAAACAGAATGCCTTTAACAGCACCCAAGTCACTTCTTAAATGCTTTGCTGCTTAGAAATTTCTTCCACTGGTTACCCTAAATCATCTCTCTCAAGTTCAAAGTTCCACACATCTCTAGGGCAGGGGCAAAATACACCAGTCTCTTTGCTGAAACGGAAGAAGAGTCAACTTAGCTCCAGTTCCCAACAAGTTCCTCATCTCCATCTGAGACTACCTCATCCTGGATTTCATTGTCCGTATCATTATCAGCATTTTGGTCAAAGCCATTCAAGTCTCTAGTGAGTTCCAAACTTTCCCACATGTTCCTGTCTTCTTCTGAGCCCTCCACACTGTTCCATCCTCTGCCTGTTACCCCGTTCCAAAGTTACTTCTGCATTTTCAGGTATCTTTTTAGCAGCGGCCCACCCTACTGGTACGAATTTACTGTATTAGTCCATTTTCATGCTGCTGATAAAGACATGCTCAAGACTGGGCAATTTACAAAATAAAGAGGTTTATCAGACTTACAGTTCCACATGGCTGGGGAGGCCTCACAATCACAGCAGAAGGTGAAAGGCATGTCTCACATGGCAGCAGATAAAAGAGTTTGTGCAGGGAAACTCCCATTTAAAAAATCACCAGATATCATGAGACTTGTATCATGAGAACAGCATGGGAAAGATTTGTCCCCAAGATTCAGTTACCTCCCACTGGGTCCCTCCCACAACAATTCAAGATGAGATTGGGTGGGGACATAGCCAAACCATATCTCTGGGTGGTAGAGGAGACTCCATCTCAAAACAAAACAAAACAAAACAAAACAAAACAAAACAAAACAAAACAAAACAAAAACTTACAAACATAGAAAGTAGGAAGTGTGACTTAAAATATTGAATGGAACAATAATTCATCTATTGTATGATTATATTATTTTGTGAAACTGAACAAATTTGTTGAAACAATTTATTGAGGTACAGCCCACTGACATATAGTTCATATGACTTCTGAAGAAGACAAAAATACAGTATTAAAAAACCATTAGGACAAATATACAAACTGTAATGAACATCATCTAGCCCACATTAGTGTAATTAAAAGGAAGCCTAGTTATTGATACTGACATTTTCATTTATTTGTCATTGTGTTTCTATGCATGGTATATGTTTCTCAGTATTTCTTAATTTTTATCATATTTTCTTTCACATTTGCTCATTTTTAGCCACTTTAGTCATTATGTCCATGGCTCTGCATTTTTTTTTTTCTATTCTTTTGGTTCTGTCTTAGCTTGGAGTCAAAAATTGAGATCAGCACTCAAGTAGAGCACTCATTAGTGCAAGAGCAATAGTGGGATTACACTCTAACTCATGTGATCTTGTGAAGAGGCATTGTGCATCATCATTATCATCAGCAAATAAAATCCGCATAAAGGCCATCTCTCCAAAGTCTGCTTCCTCTTTTTAAAAGTAAATTTGAATAAACATTGGGGGTGGAATTTGTCAGGAGCAGAGTTCACTGAGAGTAAGTCTTTGTGAGGATTTTAGAACCTCCTATAGTTCATTTACAGGTAAGTATAGTTTACTTGCTCTGGGGAAATGATGTTTATTATTTAAAAATTAGAAATGAAAGGAGAAACCCCAAAGTAAGATGATTTGTTTGCTTTTTGGTAAACTCAATTCTGTTTTATAACCTTTGAAACATGGATTTTGTGAGTGATATTATTAAAATGTATACTCCCTCTAGTGTGTGTTAATCATTATTGCTCTGTTGGGCCTACGGATTACCTGTCTGCATTGTAATGCAACATTCCCTAATATTTACAATAGAAATACCAATGGTTCTTAAGACATCTCATATTTCTATGAATAAAATGGGATTCATAAGAAATAACAACTTGCCTCCAGAAATACATTTCAAAATATTAAATTCCTCATAAAAATTCCTAGAATTATTTAAACTAGTATTGATTTAAACTTCTGAAATAACATACCTGACCCCAATGATTATACTTTAATGCTCCAATAGGTAGATGAAATCATTACAAGCACAGTTTTAGTATAAATAGAAACAGAGCAAACAATAGGTACTTCGTTTATAATTGTGTTCAATGCATCAGACGTTTATTAAGTCTCTACTTTGTGAAGGTCCTTTTCATTTTGTGGGGGAAGGGGAAAGGATGTAGAGATGATGTCAGATCCCTGTCCTTGGGTGAGGAGGACTGAAGACAGACATGAGCACCTATAACTTTTTAGAGTATGCAGATCCATTACTATGACATAAAAGCAATAAGTGATCCAGAAATAAGGAGATGATCCCAAACCAAAACCAAACTCAGGCATGAGATTTCCAGTTCTGCCAAGTTCTTATCACTATTAAGAGGTCAGTCTTATAAATATTTGAGTAGAGAAGGAAAGGGGAGGGTATGGAGATTGCCCAAATTTAGGAGTAAGAGTGACAAAGGTGCTTTTTGGAGGAACTGTCCTATTAGAATCAAATTTAATCATTGACTTCTATTGGAACTCAAAGAGTACTGTTCAAAATGTACTATTCTCAGGCGCTTATAGAATAGTGAGGAAGACAAAAATATAACTGGTTTCCAAAGCTACAAATTCCAAAGCTTCCAAATTTTACTGAAGGAAAATTTGGTTGAGCCCCTATTTCACCACCTGGATGGAATGTGCCCTAAGATTTTCTGCCTTTCTTTTTTTTCAGCACCCTTTCTCTTCTTGCAATAAAGAAGATGTCCTTAGCTTCAACCTTTCTACTCCCTTGGTCCTTCACCAAACTGTATCCCCTATTGATTTTTGCAGGAAATCTGTCACATTAAGCATAACATGACAGTTATAAATTTATTGAGGATTTGGTGGGCCATAGGAAAAGCCATTGTACCATTGAGGCCCCCTTTCCTCAGCTCCTGTTTTCTCCTCCCTGTTATTCTCTATTGGCTCTCAAAAGCTACAACTCCTAATACATGTTGTTCTCTGACTCACCTAACAAATCTCATCCACCAAGGGTAGTCTAGTCTCCTTCTCCACAAAAATGCTGGTGAATATTTCTGAAATCATTCATATTGTTAAATAATACAGGAACCACAGAGGAGGTGGAAAGGGGAAGAAGCAACACAAAGGAAATTAGTTTGAAAAAAAAAAAAAAAAAAACCCACAGATTTAAAGTGTCACATTGGAGCATAGTGATTACAGTGTATATCACTTAAAACTCCATAATAGATCTTACAACAAATTCCGATTAATCTCATTCCAACTGTGTAGTTGACAATAAAGCATCATTCCAAAGTATTCTCATTATTCCCTGGTCCGAAATTACTGCTTAAAGAAAAGAGAGGACATTTCAGAAACAAAACTGTAGTCTTGACATTTGAGAATAAGACATACTACTGGCAAGAAATGCAAGCTATCTATAGAGTCAATTAAAAACAGACAAGATTATTAGGAAGTCATGTAATTGTTGTTGGATATTTAGAAACTACTTTTTCTCCACTTAAAAATATTATAAACTTTGTAATTTTTTAAAAAGCAAATGCACATATTTATATGTGTGGTGTAAAAAATATATTTTAATATTGCACATTATGTATATGTAAAAATTGGAACAAATTTTACTTATAAAAGAGTGTTCAAAGGGCAGAATCTACTATTAAATTTCTTATGTCTGTGTACATAGTACACAATATTTCTTAGTAAAAAGTGCTATGAAACCATTTAAATAAAATTAGGTCATCATTTAATTTCTAAAGAAAAGTTAAGCATTTTTACCTCATGGTTTAATTCATAAATATTTCAAACTACAAACAAAAGAAATTTTTAACTAAACTTAGTCTTGGGATATAGTCCATTTTGTTTTTATTTTTGGAATGCTATTTAAGTTCAAAATGCTTTGATGTTACCTGAATTTATTTTACCTAATTCCGGACATGGGGCAAATTATTTGAGCAGCTGAATGGCTTTATCACAGATTCTGTTTCTTTCTGTGATTCTTCTCTGCCATCCTCACGATGTTGGCTTTGGTTTTAGACTAACTTCCTCCTCCATGCTCACAAGATGTCCAGAGCAGTCCTAGGCATTCCGTCTATATAAAACCACAGGAAACAAAGGAATTTTTAGAAGGGTGGAAAACTTAGAATCACCAAGAACACCTTTCCTACCAACTAACTGGCTAGCTGTGGATAACGTATATACCACTAAATCAATCCCTGGCAAAAGTAATGAGGTTATTATGATTGACTGAGTCTAATCAGGATCATCTGAAACCTGTGCATACAGTCACTTTCTCCAGAGTTGCTTGGGAAAAACAACAACAAAAAAAAGACACTGAAAATGAATCAGAGTCTTGTAAAGAAGAGAAAAAAGTGATTCAATTGGGAAGCCAACAGTGTTTATTGGAGAAAAATTGTATTAGACTTTAGGCCAGTGGTTCTCAATCTTAGCTGCACTTAGAATCATCTGAGGAACTTTAAAAAATATATTGATTTAACTGGTCTGGAGTTACACATAGCTATTGGCAATAAACGAATCCTTCTTGTGATTTCAATGCGTAAGTTTGAGAATCACTGCTCTAGGTAAATTAAAAATAGAATAAAGAGGCAAAAGCCTTCATGAATCTGCACACATTTAGCTTCTCAAGCAGTTTTGTTGATGAGGTCTACTGAACATTATCTGAAAAGTAACCACTGACTAGCAGGGCAAAATTACCAACACAAGATCTTAGACCACAGTTAATTCGCCAAACTGAAATGGTGCCCACTGCCATATTCATGGTGCTTACTGTAAGAATGTATGATATTAGGGTGCTTAAAGTACCCAGACAACTTTTATAGTCAACCTGAGTTCTAGTTTTATGTAAATACTGTATAGGAATACAGTATTAGTTCCATTTTTGTTGTAAGAAAACTGAGTTGCAAAGTGGCTCTTAGTGGAAGAGACAGAAGCAAAGCTAATAGTATTATCCTAACAGGGTTCCCTCATTCTACTATTGTTAATAATTTTGTTATTGTATTTGAGAAATGGCATATGTTTTGGCTAAAGCCAAACAATTTTATAATAGCTACCATTTATTGACAATTTGCTATGAACCAGGAGCTGTACTAGGTGATTTATTTCTGCCCTAACTTTTATTTAATCCTCATGACACTCTTATAAAGTAAATACTACTTTACAGATAAGGAAATTGGAACGCAGAGAGTTCATTACTCCTCCAGTGTCTCTTAAAAGAATCACTTCATTTATCTGGGATCTAGATATGCCTATAATGCTGTGAGTTACATTGCCACATATAATTTGTTGAGTTTTTCAGTCCAACAAATACCTGTTGGTTGAGCAATAGCTGACAGATGCTGGGCTAGGCTCTGGGTTGTACATTATAATGTACTTTTTTTTTTTTTTAAGAAGTAGGTTTACTCCAGTTGATTTGTAGCTGCACTAAGCACTTAACATCTGATCAAAGAACAATTGCATTAAAAAATGAATTCAGTCTTTAGATTGTGATAATTTGGAGTTGCTTATATTACAAAGACTAATGAAATTTTACCTTGCCATAATTTCCTTTTCCTTAGGAACATCAAATGTAAAAATAAAAGCTTTTAAAAATACAGCTTAAGTAAACTTCCAGATATTTTCAAGCAAATATTGAGTTTCTAGCATTTGCATCTTGAGTTGTTCTCACACTCCATATTACAGTTTTTAATAAAAAGAACACTGTTAATGAGAAGAGGTAACTGGTCTGAACAGCTGACATTTATTTAGATACTTGGTTTAGAATGTTTCTTGCTGATTGAAAGATAAGGGGAAAGTAGACTGGGCTATGGCTATTCAGGACTGGCTAGTTTAGTTTTTCATAAAGATAACATTTTCCAAATAACTCAGATACGATATTGAAAATGAAGGGCAACCTTCTTGTTGGGTTAAAGTGTTAGAATAACCCTAATGCAGAATCTCATTAAAGCAACTGTCAAGATTCCTCTATTTTACCATCATCTCCCCTATACTGTAAGAAGTAACTGTCGTTTTGAGTGAGTGTACTGCCAAAGAGGCATTTACAAATAAATGAAAAATGTCACAATTGATTTCACTCCTTTTAGGATACTGTGTGTCAGCTTTGTCACAAACTGTCTTTGCTACTCTCTGTTTTAGATCTCCCAGCTGGATGTTGAAAAGAGCTTTTGATGTTTTAGGGCCTCTTTTATTGACCCTAGGTAAGCCCTCTATTGGTGATCTTTTGCAAAAATTTGTAAAGCTGTTTGAACTGTTAGAGAAAATGAAAACCCTTCTTCTTGGTAACTGCTGTTTTTGTTAAAAAGCATCCAGATGTCAATTGTTTACATACATATTTGGTTATCTGGGGGAATTGTTTCCATTACAAAAAAAATCATAAAATTGTATAATATTCCACATTCTCTTCCTCAATGTGATGATTTGTTATTATGCTTAATCTAACAATAAGGCAAATGACAATATTACTTGTAAATAAGACATGACAAAGTTGTTCCTGTATTTTGAAAGAACTCGACAAGTGTCTAAATTTATCTTGAATAAATAAGTCATATGATTTATATGTAGTATCAACGATATACATTCATTGTTGCCATCACTGTAAACCAGTCCACCAACACTACTGCCATCCTACTCATGTTATTGAGGGCTTACACTGAGCCATATACTTTGCTAAGCAATTCTACGAATTATAGAAATTGTATAATTTCTATAAAAATGTATACATTTCTATAAAAATGTATCACAAGGGTGTCTGTATCCTAAACTAATATGGATTTGGAAAAAAAGACAATTAATTAGAAATTGCTAGAAGTTGTTTTTATTATGGATATTAAAGGGAAGCAAATCTTCATATAATTATACTGTAAGAGATATTAATCAGTATAATTAATTATAGACCATGCTATCATTTGTGATTATTTAGCTTGCTACTGTTGACTTGAAAGATCATGGAATGGGCCAATTAGCAATATTCTATTTCTCTTTGAAAATAGAAGTTTAAGCAGTTAATTCATTCAACAGATTTTTTGAGTGCTATGAACTACCAGGTAGTTTACACTGAAGATGTGTTGGTGAAGAATATGTATCTACTTCTGAAGAGTTTAAAATCTAGTGGGAGTCAGGAAAATAGGCAAATACAACACAGTGTGATGAGTCAAACCATAGGGATAGCATGGAATACACCGTGAGAAATGATGTGGGCACCCACAAGCCAGGCTAGCTATGGCTACTCAGGGAGTGATGTGGCAGTGGAAGCTGGAAGAATATTAAATTTTGAAGAAAGGGACAGATTATGAATGTCTTCAGAAGCCATATTTAAGAATTCAGATATAATTGTATACAGAGGCACATAAACTAAAAAGATTCATATAATATTGTACAAAGTCGGGCTGGTGATATTCTCACAGAGCCAGCTACCCATGTGTAATAACTAGAAAAGCAAGCTATTCTTTCCTCTTTCACAACTATATAAGTGGAATATATTTTCTAGAAAAAGATCTTTGCGAGCAAGGGCCTGGTCTAATTTACCTTGATTTCCCAGGATCCATTGCAGTACTTTCCACGTAGCAGGCTTTTAATATTTATAGTGTGGAATGATAAAATTAAATGTAGGTATCTAGAAAATGGATAGGTTGACACAGTAAAGGCTCCCTCAAAGGTTGACTATTTATCTTTTTATCCCTGATCAGTTGTCATGAACGGGAAAATTCCTTTCCACATCTCCCTTTTCTTTTAGATTCACAATTTGGTTACAAATTCTTGTAAACCAAAAATAAAATTCTAAGTCCCCGGCCTACTGAATGGACCCCTCCTGTTGGCCCACAGCATTCCTAAGTTAACCATAAAAATTAGTTCCAGCCACGATGGGAAGTGGGGGTTGAAACTGCCTCATTATATTATCCACCTGTTGGAATTTAGGCACAGCTGACCAGCATCTAACATTCAAGCAGAGACCTGGAGACTGACAACACAGACTGTTTGTAGCAATAAGATACCAACATGACAGACAGCTGGTCCTAAAAGAAACAAAGTATTTTACCCAAAATAAATTTACTTGACATGTTTTGAAATGACACTGCAAAGCTGTCCCTAATGGGACAGAAAGGGAAAGGAAAAAAAGATCTTCCCTTTCCAGGCATTTTTGCTGATCCAGGAGAGAAGTAACTAAGATTCTGGCACCTTTTTAAGTTAAGAAGCATTTACAATCTATTCTCTCTGAAGCCTGCTACCTGGAGGCTTCATTTGCATAATAAAAACCTTGGTCTCTATAATCCCTTATCTTGATCCAGACTTTCTCTTCTATTGATTCCAGGTCTTTGAATAAACCCTTTCAACCAATTACCAGTTAGGAAATCTTTGAATCCACCTTTAATGTGGAAGGCTCCATTTCGAATTGTCCTGCCTTTATGGACTGCACCAATGTACATCTTAGATGTAGTGACTGATGCCTTATGTCTCCCTAAAATGTATAAAACCAAGCTGGAGCCTGACTGCCTTGGGCACCTGTTCTCACAACCATTTGAGGTTGCATCACAGGCATGTCCTTAGCCTTGGCAAAACAAACTTCTAAATTGATTGAGATCTGTCTCAGATACCTTTTGATTTTCAGTCTTCATCAAAGAAAATTAACCTAAAATGCAATTTTTCAAATAAATAATTTGAAAATATGTGTCAGTAAAATATAGATAAACAAACTAAAGAAATGGACGAAACTAAGACTAAGAAAATCATTTCCAGACAAAGCAATACCTGTATATCCAATATTTATTTAGCTCTAGAAAATATATACTCAAATACATTACAAAAGCTTTCTTTTACTCACGAGAGATGAAATGATAACAATCATTAAATTAATCATATAAGATAATCTACCAAGTAGATAAATTTGATTTGTTTTATAAAAAATTGTTTAATGAGGAGCCTTTAAAATATATGGTACTATAATTCACAAATCACAAATCACAAAATTATTTATTTTAATAGTATATATTATTTTTGTAGTGTGTACATATATATATATACACTACAAAATAATATAATATATATATACACACTACAAAATAATATAATAATATATATACACTATATAATAATAGTATATATTATTTTAGTTAAACCCAGCATTTAAACGGATTCTGCCTTTCTTGCATTTGTGAAGTTCGTCATTCTAGAGATTTACCTATGACCTGCCTTTCTGGGGTTATTTCTTTAAAATGTGCTATCTTATGGCCACCTTACTTACGGATTTGTCCTTGAAAGCAGTAGAACATTTCTGTGAATTTGTTTTTGTTGTGGCCACATCAAATTTTGAAAGGACTGTGAACACCCACCCAAGGCATAGAGTAGTGTGCCTTTTTTTAATTGGTCTAAGGATACAGCGTCACAAACTAATAGTTTCAGTAAGTCCAATAATTTCGGTAGGTCAGTTAAAACATTGTTTTCCAAAATGAAAATAATTTTTTAAGATTATAAACCTGGCTATATAGAATATTCAACAAGCAAAAAGACAACATGAACAAAGATGCCAAGAAACATAGAGCATCTGTCATCCTCAGAGTAGCTGATGATTGCCCCATGGTCCACAGGGTAATTTTAACATTTTGCCAAGAGAGAAGTAGGAAGTTCTGAAAAAAAGAAAAAAAAAGTTGCCTAATGTTTTGAAATAGTGGACATTTATCTGGCCTGCTATCAGTTGAAATACAGATAAGAATGGCCAAATATCAAAAAGCCTAATGGAGTACAAAAGTGGCAGAAACAGATAATAGAACTGGGAAGTATTGAACCAAAAGTTCACAAAATAGAATTTCTTCTAGTAAGAGTGGGGAAAAGAAAGGCAGAGGAGGCCAGGTCCGCCAGCGGGATGTGTAAACACGCAAACACCCGTGAGCTAGGTGTCAGTCAAGGGCTGGCTTCTGGCTGGCTTCTGTCTGCCAGGTGGTGGTAACAGTATGCAGCACAGGCTCCCTTGTTTTGGGGTCATTTCCTATGCTTATTCTGTCCCTTGGTTTCCTTCTTTTGCTTCCACCTCCTCACTCCGACAGCACCTGTTCTATAATATTACTTTGGCAGGCAGCCTTAATGTACATTTAACAAATTCTCTGTGCCAAATTTTCTCTTTAAGTTACTAAAGGTAATTGTTAAAAGACTTTCAGAGCAAGTGGAATAAAACAAAACTGTTCTATGAAGACTACAACAGTCAAGTATACTTCTAGCCAGAAGACTTCTTATGAATTTTACATACTACATTAAAAGCTGGCTTGTTGACGAGGAAAACTTTGTTTTTGTTTGCCTCTAAAATAGGGTATAAATCTACCCCACTTCTTTCATGCCAACATGCCCTATTGGACTTCTGTTTTCCTTTAATAAAGCTATGCAAATTTCCAGGAACTGAGACAAAAGAAGTTATTTTGCATTAGGAAAAAGCATTTTCCCAATAACACAATGAGACTCTTGATAACCTGTTGCCTTGGACACTAGAGACTAGGAACTTTACATGTGAATTTTCTTAATGATAGGTATTCTTAATTTATCTATAGAAAATTCAGTAGGATTTTCTTATCTTAGTAGCTAGCGCCCATCTGCGTACCTTTTGCCATAGGGAAGTAGAAGGGGACAATTAAAATGCCCGTCAAAATGGGGATGGCACAGTTTCTATTTGGGACTTATTAGTTCTATTGGAAGTAAGGTGTGGGTTCCAGTGGGACCAGAGCTTTTGTCACATTTTTACTCTTACCATGTTGCTCTTCTTTAACTCCAAACTCTTAAACTGAATATTTATCCATGAAATATTAAAATTCAGATAACATTAATTTCAAAGAAATATTTTCCGAAGCCCCTTTCTCTCAATACCTATAATACCACACTTCACATTCACTTTAATTGGGAATGAAGTCAGATATAAATTATCAAGAGGATTTTCTGACAAATTCTGTTAGATTATTTTTTTGATTGCCCTATATCAGAATGATGTTTTTAGAATTTTTTACATTCCAATTTATGTTCTTCTAAATTAGAAATTTGGAATGTGTAACAACATAGCTTGGTATGTGCTAAAAGCATGTGTCAGAAAGATGAAAGGTGATGGTTAAATAACATGAAGGCTAATAGTCAAGGGATTTGACAGCTTTATAAGTACAAGATATTTACTTCATAAATTTAAAGTGGGTTAATCAGTCAATCATTCAACATATTCTAAGTGTGTGTTATGTGCATGTGAAAATGCACTGGATGCTACGAAACATTTTTTTAAGCAGTTAAACAAAAAGCATTAACTTTGCTCCATTTATGATTTTTATCATTGTGAAATGTAGAATTAAGTATGTTTCTTGCTATAGGCAGTGAAAAATAAAATAGACAATGATTAGGGGCATATTTAAGTATTTAGTAGATGCTATGAGATAAAGGCACTGTTGACGATGTAGGACAGATGAGCACCAAAATTGGAGCTTAGCCTGGGAGAAGTCTTGGCTTCATGCAGGAAAGAATTTGAGGAGTTGCTGGTGAAAGAAAGCAGGTCCTCTGAAGCAGCAGTGTGCAGCAGGGTGACTACCTCTTGCAGAGCAGGGCTAACCCATAGGCAGTGTGCCCAAAGTACCAGTGTATAGGCTGTTGGCCAAGGGTATTTATACCCCCTTTTAATTACGTGAAAATTAAGGGATAGATTATTCAGAATTCTCTAGAAAAGGAATAGAAACTTCCGGGTGTTTCCGTGACATTTGTAAACTGTCATGATGCTGGTGAGCGTGTCGTATGCTGATACACATTAGGGAAACTAGAAGTTGATTTCAGAGCCAATTTGCTACTTCTGGCTGGTTTCTTTATTTTATCCTGTCAGGACCAAGAAAGAAGTCCTGCTAATCTCCTACCTCATTCTCCCTTCGGAGAATATATACTCCTTAATTTTAAGCAAGTTGCAAAAGGTAGAGGTCTGTCTTCTGTAACTGCTTCCTGCTGATCTTATGGGTATAGACCCTGCTTAGTTTTGGAAGTATAAACGTATCTGGATGCCTCATCTAAGGGGCCCAAAGGCAAGGTGTCTTTACTTTCTGGGTCAGAAGATGGGATGAGTTGGAAGTCTTGCACCAGCATCTTCTTTATACGGAAACATTGTGATCTGGAAGTCACAAACTATACTGAGAGGTTAAACAAGCAAGGGCTAAAACTTGTTAGCAGTAACAAGTTATGTATCAAAGGTCCTAGGAAAGGGAAAAACCAGGTAAGACTTGAGAGGGTGCTTTTGATAGACAAGCAGAGAGTTGGGGTCAGTGCCCTGGTTATAGCTATGTAACCAGGTAGCTTGTTTATATATAATTTTAATATTAATTTCCTCTTGTCCAGAGTTAGTAATATACTTGCAGCAAGTCTTATTAATAACTGCACAGACTCCACTTTGGTTAGTTAGTAAATAGTTGAATGCTAGTCTGTTCTCAAGGACTACATTTGCCAAAGAGTCTAGGGACTATTAAATTCGCCTTAATGCCTGACCTATGTAGGTGGCCAATGACTCTAGAGTTTGAGTCAAGTTTTTTAGGGTTGATTCATGCTGGATTAAGCCACGTCAGGGAGCTTCTAGTCCTATTGTTGCCCTCATTTTCACCAGAATTAATACTATTGCTTATTTCTGGTATTCCTGTGTCTTATGGGGTTGTAAGTAGTGACTCCAGGAGGGGTCACAAGTTGAGATCCTGTGGGGTATGACATCTATACCCTGCTGCCAAGTTGGGTTTATAGAGATATTTTTCCATTGCTCTAATGAGGTTGGTCAAACAGCCCTTGTTTTCCACAAGTGGTGGTAGTACCACCTTCTGAGATCAGACAGTTGTTCTTCCCTTGCAAGTTCTGATCTGGGAGGAGGCACAACATACGGTTGGTTTTTCACTTACAAATGGAATCCCATTTGCTTCTCTATAGCCTTGGAAAAGTGGCCACTAGGGTTGGATCAGAGCATCACAAGGAATCTTTCATTTGCATGTCGTTAACAAGGCAATGGATACAAAAGATAGTATCATTAGTGCACTGGAGGTGCAGGTACCCAATGTTCCAGGTCCAGATAACAGTAGCAGGAGTTCAGTAGAATTTGTTAAGTGAGGGAAAGTTCCACCTAACAAGTAGGGGACTGGGTATTTTGAAAACACTGTGGTTAATTAGGAGATCTGGGGAGATGGCCATGAGATTTTCTGGATGTGCTGGAAGGGGGAATTCTCTATCTTGGGGATGTTGATGACAGATCTAGCAACCAAGAAGATGATTTCCTAATTATAACTTTTGAAATATTTACTATAGAGTTTTTTCCCCACATACAGTGGATTAAATTTATTTGGAGAGCAAAGAGGAATAATAGAGGCAACATGGTGTGAGGTTGGGCCTTAGAATGGCCTCTACACTCAAAATGGACAAAAGAGGTGTTTCCCAGGAGGAGGCGGTTTGCCAAA